CCATCCAATGTTTGGCTAGCTCTTGGGGTCCTTCAAGGAAACAAGGCTGGTATCCTCACTACTGAAACCCTGACTTTGACTCTTTTCCAGTTTGAGAAATGTTTTCTTTTGCAACAATTCCACCTACGCACAACCCCTCCCTCCCTCTCTCTCTTTCCTCCTTTCCCTCTCTCCCCAGATGTCCCTACCCCCTTGAATCCCCTGGCAAAATCCCTTTGGGAGCAAGAAACCTGGAGGGCAAATCACTGGGCACAACTTCAGGAATACCACTGATGGTGCATCCTAAGGAGCTGTGTCCAGGCGGCTTCAATGACAGTGTGAGCGGTGCCTCCTGGAGTTGTCTAAGAGAGAATTCCTGTCAACTTCTTTCTGCCTAGAAACACAAACTCCCTAGAAGCCTGTTTGGAATGGAGGGGAGGGAAAATATAAGAACATAAACCAAATTAACAGCTCAATAAATTAGCCTGTCACACACTTGTTTTTTTGTTTGTCCCCTGTATTTTCACTTGGTGTTTAAAAATATGTGTGGGCTGACATGTGTTCCAATTAGATTATGAACTTCCTGAAGATTAGAACAATATTGTATTTACCGATTATTTTAAAATCTTTCTCAGTGTAGTAATTAGTATACGAGGAGAACATAAGTGTGTCTTGAACCGCAGAACCATGAGTCTGTGGATTACTGACTAGGCTCCACCAGTTCAAACTGCACCAGGGCTGACCTCCTCGTTGAAGGACTGCCTCCAGCGTCTTTTCACCGTCACTTTTAGGGTTAGGTAAATATGCTTTTACTTTACCGGCTTCTGTTCACAACTGCTGCTGGCCTCAATTTCCAAGATATCGCATTTCTACTTGGGACCTTTCTGGCCCCAAGTAAAAGTAAACATTTCTTTTAAAATTCAGACAGATGATACTAACTTGAACCTTCTTTCACATCAAGAGAATTCAGGTCACAACATAAACATGTCTGTGGTAAAAACAATGGAGAATTTCTAAATGAAATCAAAGCAGTACCTGGTATGCATTTTCATAATACCTTTCACTTGAAGAGCCAAGTACATTAAGAGAACTTTATCTCAATAATCCTTAGAGATAAGTAAAGGGACCTGCAGAATGACTTGTATAGATAGGGTAACATAACTAGGTTGTTAACACCCTGTTGCCTTGCCTAGTATTTAAATAGCCACCCATGGACTGTACCCACCAGGATCCTCTATCGGATTTTCCAAGCAAGAATATTGGAGTGGGTTGCCATTCCCTTCTCCAGGAGAACTTCCCAACCCAGGGATCGAACCCAGTCTCCAGAGTTGCAGGCAGATTCTTTACCATCTGAGCCACCAGGTAAGGCCATGAATAGTTAGGCTACTTGGCCTTAACAAACCATTGTTTTAATGACATAATAGAATATTTGTACTCTGACAGGAGAACTCACATTTTCACATCACACTAACATTAGTAAGCACAGTATGGAGAAAGTTTAACCAAATTTGCCAATATGCACTTGGCTTTTAACTTTCCAACCTCTCTTTTGTAATCTTGCTTCCTCTTTGTTGTCTGTCTCCCCATTGCCCTCACTTCCCTTGCTCTAAAGCTAGTAAAAGACTGAAAACTCAATTACATTACAGCATTGGAACTTAATAGATCAGCTCCCCTAGGACTCCAGGCATTTTGAAAGACAACAGTTTAGCCCAAAGAAAGTGGTTACACCACTTTCTGATATGGAGAAAGATTTTTTTTGGAGGTGGAAAGCCTTCCATTCCTGTTCCCTTAAATAACATGTAGATGATTACATATTCTACTTTCAGCTCTAGAGGGAAAAGTTTGCAACTAAAGAAGGCAGAAAAGTAATGGTAAAGGAAAAGAGGATGAGGGAAGACTTAGTTTTCAAGGAGAGAAGGAAAAGAGGGTAGAACCTTATCTTTTCCACATCTGTAAATCACCGTAATTTGTGGAAATTAAATGTACACTTTAAGCATTTATTCAGTATTAACCAATGATGAAGCCTATTTGGGCCTCATTTTTTGTCAGAACAGCTGTAACTAATAACACAGAATAACATTTTGTAAAACGGACTGTGTCTCCGTCCCCCCCTTTTCCTCCCCTACACACTCTATTAAGGATCCGAGCCCAAGCTAACACTGCATTATGCGCTCATCCCATGTGTGTTTTCATGGCTTCACACCAGTGTTTGCTCTGCTCCTTGGTCTGAAAGCATCTTCCCTTATTGCTCTGCCTGTTGAACTTACATTCACCCGATGAGACCCCATTCAAATGTTAGCCAAGAGGTCTTCTCCAAAAGCTCTTTTTGCCCTGAGTAGGACCAATCCCTTCCTCCACTATATTCATCATCTTATGTAACTAATATATAGTAATAGGTCTCTCTGCTCCTCAGAATGCGAATTATTTCAAGTTGGGACCAGGTCTTACCTATCTATCTATTTATTTATATTTCCAGTGTCTGATGCTCTTATGTATTGGGTATAATAAATGTATGTACATTTATCATATAAGAAATTTAGTTTCATAAATGACACAAAACTTAGACAGAAGAGAGCAAGATGGTATGATGTACCGGGCTAAGAAAATTAAGGTTAGGTAACTACTGAATTCAACAAATATTTACTTAACACCCAGGAGTAAGGAATTGTGTCCCAGGATTACGAGGATAAATAGAACATGAGGCTTTGAGGTGCTCACAGTCCACCTTATAGATTATCTTTCTCTGTGCATAGCAGTACCCTGGTTTAGGTATTACCTTAACATGTTTCTCACAACCTGTGAGGTAGGTCATGATTTTCATTTTTACCAAGATGGAAACAGAGGGTTTGAATTTTTAGGTTTTCTGACTCCCAGATTGGAGTCCTTCTTTCCCACTACCCCAGTGTTTCTCAAAATTTTCCACAGGAGTACACTTTCACAGGGAGAACAGACTTATAATCTTCAGGGTTGAGAAACAGAAGCTCAAAATCTAGTATGCTCTATTGAAAATTCATGATTACTAGAATGTTTTCCATTACTTCTCAGTGAGTCAAACTGAAGGTCTGAGGAAATGAACCACAGTGATTTTGGGTCCCGGAGGGGCCTTAATACAGTTTCATAACAAGAGGGGGGCAAACAAATTTCAGAAACACCATGGCCACACTGCTGCCTTCACTCAAGGTGTCTGGGTTTGGCTTGAGTCCTCACCCACGATTCTGAGTAACTTCATCAGATTTCTTTCAGGTTTCTACTAGTATAACTAACTATATTCACTGCCCTGTCTGAAAACGGTAACAAAACTGCACACTCTACTCCCAGATTTTAAGTGAGTAGTGGGGGGCTGACGATTTACAGCCTTCCAGCAAGGATGTCCATTTTAGCAATAAGATCTCTTCAATCTGATACTGTTTGCCAATCCATTCTTCTCATTGCTTGTAGAACCTAAGAGCTGGAGATGTCTCTTCCAGCCGCCTTTCTATGGGGTCTTTGAAGGCCCCGTAGGTTCAACGACGCCCTTTCTCGTCAGCACCGCCGCTAGAGGGCAGCCCAGGATTGCAGCTCTGCTGTGCCCTCTAGTGGCTGGTGGGCTGACATGCTCTTTTATGGAACCTATAAAACCCTCAAAAGTTGCACTCGGGAAGTCAGCCTGTGTGACACCCGGCAGCGAAATTTTAAAAAACCGTCCTGGTTCTCAGCTTCCTTTTCTTAAGGACTTTGGCAGACTCAGATAATTTCCCTTCTTGGATGAATCTCTCACTCCCTAGGGTCTCCCCCTCCCAGGGTGTGGCAACGTGGAGCCATCACTGTCTCTTGGCAAGGTAAAAAATTAGAACCTGGGGGACTTCGGGACTTTGCCCAAAGTCTTTTTACTTCCTCCATCTTCTCCATGGATATAGAGCTTATATGGGCATCCAAGATCTTTCGATATAACCTCTTTTTCGGCATGAGACTTCAGGATTCAAATCCTGACTCCCTCATTTACTATTTGGGTCACTTTAAGACATTTAACCTCACTAAGCTTCTGGTTCATCTGTAAAATTGAGAGAATAGTATCTACGTTATGCAGTTTGCAGATGGTAATGTAGAGAAAATGCTAGGTCTTGCACAGTGAAGGTGTGCATTCGTTATTAGCATTAGCTGTTTTTATTCCTCAATGCTTCTGTCTAGGGCACACCACGTCTATCAATTTAGTACAGGAAAAAAAAGCCTGCCTTTACATAGGACTCAAGGGTATGTGTGCAAAAATGAGTAACTTAATTTTCTAAAAGTGGCTAAGCTAACAGTGACCTCAGCTTATGGAAAGGGGGGTTCGTTGTGTGACAGAATCAGTGCCATGGGCTTCAGAGTGCAAAGGAATCCAACAGGCCTAGAGTCCTCATGAAAGAGCTATTTTGCACACAGGTGTCCTTCCTCTTTCCTAGACTCTGTGCTCCCACCATGTGTAAGAACTCAGCGGATCTGGGAGTGGATTCTGTGAGTTAGGCCTGGGGGCACGGTGGTGCAAAAGCAAAACGGTTCCAGGCCAAGGCAGGGAACGGAGAACTCCAAAGGCCAAGAAACCCAAGCCAATCAGACTCCCCACACCCAGAAGGAGTCTAAAAGGTGGCAAAGACTCGCTGCCCAAAGTCCAAGCACTGCAGGAAAGTGGCCAGAGAATCTGACAGGTAGAAACACGATAGAAACTGTCAGAAAAGTTAAAGCTGAAGAGCTCAGAACGCCCACAGGCCCAGAGAAAGGTCAGTATGAGCCGAGCAGCTGTTCCATCTGGTGCCAGAGACCTTGGCTGTAGTGTTCTACACCAGGCAGTTTAGGCCTCCGAGATCAGCCCCACCTAGAAAAGCCAATTCTTCTGCTCTTAAAGGGGACCTGCCTGTTTCTGGCAGGGAGTCTTACTCTCAGTGGGCAAAGCTAGCTCTTAAGGATGAGTAGCGGGGGAAGGGGCAGAGATTACGTTCAGGGGTTCAACTGGATCCAAAAGGAAGGAGCTTGTGAATGGAGCCTGAGCCTCCATGTTGTGAGAACTACACGCGTTTCTTTCCGAGGCGGGCAGGGGCCTTGGCTGCCAGGGACCCTGACAAGCCACGACTTGAGCTGCGCCTTGGAGACTGGGTTGGCTGGAGAGCGGTATAGAGGAGGAAGGAGGGCGTTCCTGGAAAGGGGGTGGGGTGGGGAGGGAGGTGAGAGGAACAGCAGGAGCAAAGGCACGAAGGAAGAATGAGTCTGCTGCGCGTTGAGAATGGCATGGAGACTTCACTGATTGGAGCCGAGAGTTCTTGCAGGGGGATGGAGGCAGCGATGATTGGATAGCTAAAGTGGGGCCAGATTTGGAGGGCTTTGAATGCCCGACCGAGGAGCACTCAACCCAGCTCCTGCCTCGCGATTTCCGTTCAAGACTGAATTACCTAAAGGGTGGTTAATTCCAACGGGTGTTCTTCTTTGGGGGCTTCTGAAAAGTCAGCTTATCCTCTTACCTGATTCAATTCTGTTCCTTTCACCAAGGAGAAAGTAATCCTCACTTGTCGAGGGGAGGGGGGCTAATGTTGACTGATTTCACTTTACTTGCTTGGAGGATGCAAAAAAAAAAAAAAATCCCATTTCCACGCCAAATATTAAATTTGGTTTCTCCTCCTCACGCAAGTTCTCTTTCTCTCGCCAGCACCTCCCCCACGTTTTTCCTGCTCTTCACCAGCTCGGCCAGTTGCCTCCTCGGCCCCGGAGGCGCGCGTTCCGGGCCCCGCTGGCCCGCGCCCGCCCTCCGCGCCCGGGCGCCCCCCGCCACCCACCAGCCCCCAGCCTGCCCGCGCCCGTGCCCGCACACACTGGTCCACGCCCCCCCCGCGGCCGAGCGGTAGGTGTTTTGCCGTCTGCGCCGGGCCGCAGTGCGGCTGCGCGCACTGGGCTGCCTCCGGGGCTGGCAGGGCAGCGGCGGCGGCGGGGCCGGGAGCGAGCGGCGGCGACGGCGGCGGCGTGGGGAGTGGCGTGGAGCCGAGCCTGGGGCTGCAGCCGCAGCGCGGGGCCCCCGGAGTAGAAAGCCCCACGGGCAAGAGAGGAAAGGCCGGGCCGTCAGGTCCCTGAGCAACCGTTCTCCTTGGATTTGGGGGAGCCTCGCCCCCACCCCACTTCATCTTCAGACGCCCCTTCCTCATCCCCCCCCCAAGCCCCGGCCGCTGACGGGAGGAGGCGGCGGCGGCGACGGGGGGCTGAGGGGAGCCGCCATGCCTCTCCCGCGGTGAAGCGCCCCGGCCGTAAGGAGCCGCTCGGTCTCCCCGGTGATGTCCCCCAGGCGGCAGGCGAAAGCGACTCACTCGAGCCCTGGGGTAAAGGCCTAGCTTATCCAGCTTCCTTCCTCCTCCTCCTCCTCTTCCCCTCCCCGTTCCTCTCCCCCTTCGTCCTCCCCTCCCCGTCTCTTCCCTCACCCTTCCCCGCGCCCCCATCTTCCCTCCCTCCCTCCCACCCCTCCAGCAGCGATGGCAGAGGAACAACAGCCGCCACCACAGCAGCCTGATGCCCATCAGCAGCTTCCCCCCAGCGCCCCCAACTCGGGGGTGGCTCTGCCAGCCCTTGTGCCCGGGCTGCCAGGGACAGAGGCCAGCGCGCTGCAACACAGGATCAAGAACTCCATCTGGTAAGAGGATCCTCCATCGCTGGGGTAGAAAAGCCCAGGCACATTTCTGCTGCAAAGAGGGTTGGGGGCGGCGGGCTGGGGAGCGGAGGAGGAGGCTGATAAATTCATTGAATGTGGGTCTCCGAAGTCGGGTGCGTATTTATAGGACCTCTGGAGGTGTGGGGACTTTGCATCAGCCCCTGGGCTCCGGAGCCAGAAAATGCTTTTACCCCCGCCTCAATTGCAAGTGCAGATAAACAAGTGTTTTTCACTTATGTGTAAGAGGAATATGGGTCGAAATTAAGTCATGTTACATGATGATAGCATGAATTTGGCACTGAGAAATGTGAAATGTGTTTACTCCTTTTTGCAGTCATACTGGGAGGAAGCAGTGTATTGTGAATTTTCACCAAACAGACATTGTGCATAAGACTATTAATATGCAGCACAAAACCTAATGTGTCTCTTTCTTTCAGTTGGCTTAGCTGCTGTTTCTGGATATTTTTGCCTTCTTTATTCTGAGATTAAATTTCTCTTCCAGGGACCTTAATCTTTTTGCATTGATTGTGAAGAAAGGGTTTCCATAGTATGAGACATTTTAAGGTGGTAGTTTACACTGTAAAGTGATTTTCTAATTTTAAAGGATGCTTTAATTTAAAATAAATGTGTTGCCATTTCGTGTCTTTTTTTAGAACCCTTGGATGATATATCCTTTGCTATTCTTGTACTTTCTTGTATAAGAATTTACAATATTTCAACATTAGATTAAACTCTGAAAGACTGGTGGCAGTCTTTTAATAATTAAAGACACTGAGTTAAGTCTATCCTCTGTTAGAGCCATTGGAAATATTCTGTAAACATGAACTTGCATTATTTTTGTAGGATTCTTCATTAACTGACATGTTATAAAAAGTGTAGTGCTATTTTTAAAATGGAAAGCATTATTTGGAGTTTGGTCTAAGACTGCTTTTAATAGATGATTAAAAATAGAATTAAATGTGTTTTAAAAAGCTCTGATTTTATGAAATCTTACATGTTCATCATTGAATATGATTACTGAAATACCAAACCTCCTTACTTTTTATATTGCAATTTAAAAATAAATGTATCATGAAACAACTGGCATTGTAGTACAATATTTACATATTTTAAAACAGTGACAATTTTTAAATGCACAATTAAAGTTTATTATATAGTAATTTTCATTAATTTCTTGGCACACATCCATATTGTCATGATGCTAATATGAAGTAGGTCAGTGCAGGCTTTAGTAGTTTGATACTGCACAGTATTTGGCAGCTGAGTATCTTGCTTTCAGTTTTCATTTTTAGATGAAGTTTAAATATTTTAAAAGAATATTTTAGAGTTGACAATAGTCATGTTGTCGCAATTTGAATAGGTTAGATAAATAGGATTGTGTGTGTGTGAGAGAGGGAGAGAGAAAGAGAAGGGTTTATTCTTCGATAGATGCCCTCACCCCCTTTTTAGAGCTATAATTTAAAGGAAGAGATACTCAATATCCTGATTATTATCAGGGTTTTCAGAAACCAGGTTTCTTCCCCCTAACTTAATGTTACCAGCGTCTCTGAAGTCTGAATTGAGCACTTTGGTTTTTACATTCAGGTAAGGGACATCAAAGTTAAAGGATGAAAATATTTTAAGAAAGGCAAATTTTGAAAGTTTGAATTAATAATTATATGTTTTGATTTATTGTGAGACAATGGGGGAAAGGAGTGTTCACCTTATATTTTTAAAGTATGTGTAAGTTGTATAGGCAGCAGGCTGAAGTGTTTGAATAATAATGTAGTGGAGTACTTTTTTGGTAAATTGTGATTTAATTCTTCTTTAATTGATAATTTGTATTTACACATCTATTACAACTTAACTGCACTGATTTTAATGTGAGGAAAACTTCCAAAGTACAGTGTACTTCAGTTTTTGGTACTTACTCTGAGAAAAACAAAATGACAACAAACACCTTACTCCCCAAATGTACAATTTTATAACTTCATTTTAAAATTGTACTGGCATACTAGCATTTAATTTTCAGCTTTAGAAATCCTATTTGCAAAATTATTTATTTATATTTAAAACTTTAAACATTTGTGGATCATGAACAGTGTTAGTGGCTATATTTATGTATAGCCTCATAGCCCCTCCTCCACAACACTGGATGTATGTTTTTCATTAAGTGACTAAAATAAAATATAAAATAAAGACATTACAAAGTGAAAGCTCTTTCACTTCCATCTCCTCCTAAGAAATAGTATGTGTATATGTATAAAATTAAAACGACTTAATGAATAAGATCAAACTTATTTAGATATCTCATTTCACATTTATTGAGGCAATAGTATCTTTTTACCAATTATTTTATCACTTGATAATGTTCTGAAAGATTATCAGTTTTGGACTATGTCCTGTATCAACCTTTGGTATCATTACTAATGGGACTTTAAAATTACATTACACAGAAATGTGGTACTTAATAATTACCAAATGAGCTTTGCATTTAGGTTGATCATAGTTTCTAAATTATTGGACTTCATGTCACAAACAAGTCTGAACTTGTCCTTATATTTTATAGATACATAGTATGTGATGTAGGCCTTTAGCTAGACAGTAAATTATTTATTATCTGTTCATAATTAATCTATTCTGTTCATTAAAGTAAAATACTGTTAGTTAAAAGTATGTCCATGGTTATTTCAAGCATTAAATGAGTGTTTGGAAAAAATATTAAGTATTCAGAGTTGATATCATGATGTTAATGATTTAACATCAGGAGCCATAATTCTTAAGATTTGGAAATACATGTTTTTCAAGACAGTTCTACAAAATAAAGTTACTAACTTGTTAGTGTTGTAATATTTGTATAATATATTTATGGGTACCTTCAGCTTAAGTCCAAGGAATGAGCATGCACCTTTCTTGATCTCATTCCCACTCCATAGACAGATCCAAGTCACTTCCCTTACACAGCTCACTTGAAAGGAGAGTTATTTTCAGAGGTGTATTTTAATACTGAATAAGCTATATAATCATTTTTATATTTTGTAAATAATAGAAAATAATTCTGGTATAAAATTTTCATTAAAAAAGGTAAGCTAGTAATATGCTTTTTTTTTTTCCCCTAAATAAAGACTCATACTGGCAACCTAAAACAAAGCCACAATCTAACCTCACTGCTCACTTTAACTTACATTGCACTCCTCTTTGGTTACCTAAAAAAAGAGTACCAAAGTAAGTTTTTCCTTCCTCTTATCTACCAGTGTCTTCATAGTTTTTTGGGTTTTTTTTTTTTTAATTTATTTTAGACCAAAAAAACCTGTGATTTTCTTTCCCTTTAAAAAGTAGTTTTTCTTGAAACCCTGATAGAATAAAATTACTGTGGAAAAATTGCATTTGAAATCTTTCCTGCCTGTTTGTGATTAGTTATTTTTAAGAATAATCATACCTGCATGGTTGGGAGTGATTAACATGTTTGAAATTAGATGGTATCATAGATAACAAACCTTTACCTATAAATTCAAAAGAAAGCCTGATGTTCCATTGTAGAAAATATTCTAATACTGTATTTACCCAAGAAATTCAGGAATTCTTAAAAGTATTACTTATTATCCATTATTATTTTTATTTATATACCTCTGTTTGCAAGTAAGACCTATAAACCAAAAGCAATCCTATATGATGTATTATTCTACTCACTTTATGGAAGGAGATAAATTGAGTGACAGGGAAGCTGTAGGATTCCTCTGATTTCATTATCAGATCCTAGAAGTGGTACTGTGGCTATAGTTCCTTGTCTTTATTTAATCCTGTAAATCATACAGAGATCTGAATCTGGTACATTTTGTATTTAGAATTTAAACCCAAATTGAGCAACTTATTTCTTAGTTGCAGTAAGCAAAGTATGGCAATTCATAAGTTTTTCAGCAAAGTGTGGTGATCCATAAGTTTTCTTCTTAGTGCCATTATTTGTCCTATTTTCTGGCCCTGTGAAAACTCAGTAGTTCAGTTTTGTCCTTGGTTCTGGTTTAGGCAATTTTTAGCTCTGTCTAAGAAATAGTTATTGTTTCTTCAACTGCAGTAGAAAACATTTACTGTAAAGTTCATGACTTTAGAGTTTACTTTAACCATAAGCCTAGGATTTTCATTTTGCTTTAAAATTAGAGACTGACTAGTAGTAAATCATCTGGCTTTTAAATATTTTGAGTAGTTGTTTGACATGCTACCTGCCCTGAGTTCAGTCTGTCTTCCATACCCACACCAAAAATTTAGAGTCCTTTTTGCTTGTCTATATTGAGGCCAGCTGTGGTGGTGCATCCTAGCACTGTTTCTGGTTCCAGAAAGAAGGCAGTTCCTTGCTCTCCTCTATAATCTAAAACCGATGAAATTGTCTTCCCCTGTTATTCAGAAAGCAAGTTAAGTAGTTTCAAGCCCCTCAACTTTATGGCCTTATTTAACTTAGGTAATGGATATGTGTGTGTATAAATAATTAACCAATTTGCTCTCCCCAGTGAGAGGTGTCTTGAATGATGTAATGTGCAGAACTGATTTGGTTTCTATCTCACTATTAGTTTTTGGTATTATTGAGGGAAATTAACTTCACAGTGTTAGGAAAGACAGAGGTATAGCTTATTGTTGTTAAAGATGTTTTGAATAAAAACAGGTTAAATCACTTTTTATATTAGAAAAATAATGTTACACACTAAAATTATGCAAATGAAAATAAAAAATGAGCATTATCGTTCACTTGAATTTGAACAAGAACAGTGTGTTAAGTGCTCACCTGAGTACCTGCTGTATACAAAGTAGTATGCTAGAGACTGGCATTTGAGGAATGCCCGTTCACTTGGAATATTAACCTTGTAATGTTAACCTAAGCAATAATGTGTACTGAAACCTTACTTATTCAGTTCAAGGCCAGGGAATGAGGTGACAAGTGCTAAAGCATGGTAAAAGTAGACCCCTTAGTTTCCTTGTGGATAAAACGCAAAATTTATACTAGATGACCTTGC